ATTGTTCAAGGTTAGAAAACAAGACACAAGATTACCTTACACACAATTTAGTGATATTATTGACTAATATCATGACATAAGAAATAATGGCAGTAAATGATTATGCAAAATAACATAACAAAAATGGTAAGTAAATGAAACAAAATCATCAAAATCCAAAAACAATGTCATACTTACTAATAAAGCAGTTACAAAATAATCTTTACAAACAATAATGGAAGGCTGGTGAAGTGACCAAACCGACAAAATAAAATAACACAACAATGATGCTACATTAATAACAATATGGAAAGTTACAAAAATTAACAAAAAGTCCAACTTATGGCATACTTCATGTACAAAAGAAAAGGGTAAACAATACAGTTCATACAACAAGCAGAATCAACCAAATATATCACTGAGAATAATAAAATACATAATCCAACAAAAGAAAAATGAAAGTACAAATCAAAAGTAGAATAAAATCAACACAGACAGGCGTTAAGTAAATAAAGAAAATGAGTCCCCCTCTACTGTCAGATGAGCGCAATTTACATATATTCCACGGTAAACACTGCCATCCCTTTCCACAGAAAAGAACTAGGCGACGGAGCTCCAAATACCATGAGAAATACGAAGGGAAGAGGACATGATCAGCCAGGCCTAGATCAGATGTTTTCGAGACGCCTCTAAAAACCGGGTCCTATTCAGTAAACAAAATATCAGAGAACATTACATGAGCGATAATTCATTTTCTTGATATAACAAAAAATAATAATACCAAAGGATACTGTCACTATAACTATAAAAACAAAATAAACTTCTTCTTCTTTCTTCTTTCTTGTTATAGGGTTTAGACTATGATGTCTATATCCCCTGGATCCTCTTCTTTTGTTCTTGAAGTTTCTTATATTAGGTTGATTAGCTTGGTTCTTTGTAGGAAGATCTTGGTGTGTCTCAGTATGTAATACTTCAGTGGTAATGGATGATCTGTCCCTGTTAACAAAAGGTTGATGTTAAAGTCATGAATATTTGCTTGAATAAGTGCTTGTTTTAGTTTTATTCTATGGGAGTTGAATCTTGGGCATTGTATTATCATATGTTCTATTGTTTCCTCTTGGTTTCTGCACCATCTGCAGTATGGGTCGTTTTCCATTTTTATTCTATATAAATGTTGTTTTAGTCTTGTATGTTTGGTTAATAATTTTGCGATACATGTATCCATTTTTCTGTTTTTAGCTCTGACCCAAGGTTTTATGTTGTTGTCTTTTATGAGATAATTCTTTGAGTTTAGTAATCTTTTGAGATTCGATTCCCATTGTTTGAAATTTTTTGATTTTATTTCTTTTATTGTATAATTTGGGTCTTGAGAAACTTTCATGGTGTTGTTTAGTTCATGACCTTTCTTTGCTGCTAAGTCTGCTATTTCGTTTCCCTTAATGTTTTTGTGTGATGGAATCCATTGGATTTTTATTGTTTGTTTTTTAATTTCAATTGTATGCATTTGCTTTTGTATATCATATATGATTTGTATATAATTTAGAGGTTTACGGTTTTGTAGAAGTTGTAGTGATGATTGGGAATCTGTTTAGTATTACCGTTTTGTTTAGATTATTGTTTATAATATAATTTAGTCCTTGCTTTATTGCATAGAGTTCTGCGTGGGTTATTTCTATATTAGCTGGTAGTTTCCAGATAGTTGTTATTTCTTTGTCTTGAATAAATATTGCTGCTGAGGTTGATTCTGGTTCCTTTATTTTTGATCCATCGGTGAATATTTTGGTATAATCTTTGTAGTTTATGTTTATCATTTCTTGATAATATTTTGAATAACTACTTGAGGGGTGTTTTTTGTAAGTTCTTCAGCAAAATTTATTTGAATATAATTTGAGATATCAAACCATGGGGTACTGGTGAAGTGGTTGGTACTTCATTTATTTTTAGTTCAATATTCAGAATCTTATTAGTTTCTGTGACTCTGTGGAATAGAGATCTCTTGTCTCTGGGGGTTATATTCTTTTATGTAGTTTATTGTTTGCTGTTTTATTGGCATTCTATTGGGTTTGTTTAGGATCTTGGTTAGATGTATATATTCCAGTTCTTTTTTTCGGTCTTTCATTGTAGGTAAATTTGTTAGAGCTTGAAGGGCTATTATTGGGGTTGAATTAAGGCATCCTGTAGCGAGTCTTAATACTTGATTTTGGAGGATTTCTATTTTTTTAATTTCTCCTTCTTTTGCTGCACCGTATATTGTTATTCCGTATTCTATTTTCGGTTTTATGTATATTTTGTAGAATTTTATCAGGGTTTCTCTGTTGGCTCCCCAGTTGAATGAGCTAGCTTTTTCATGAGATTTATTCTGTATAATGTTTCTACTTTTATATTATTTATATGGTTTTTCCACTTTAGTTTTGGTGCATCTAAAGTTAGGCCTAATATTTTGTGGCTTTGTACATATTTTATTTCTATATTGTCCATTTTAATTGTTGGTAAATGATTTATTTTCTTGTTTGTAAAACAGAGGAGTTTACTTTTTAGGAAATTTATTTTTAAGTCCCAAGTATTTGCCCATTCTTTTAATTTTTGTAGTTCTGTTTCTAGTTTGTTTGCTGCTTCAATTAAATTTTTTTTACTTATTATTAATGTAATATCATCGGCGTATATTATTTTTTCGATGCCTGTTAGTTTCAAATCGTTTATCATTATGTTGAATAGTACTGGGCTTATTGGAGACCCTTGAGGTACCCCACATTTAGTTGTTCCTTTCTTTGAAGTTCTATTTCCAATCTTTATTTGGAATGTTCTATTTTCTAAAAGCTCATTTATCCATTTTAATGGGTTACCTGTTATTCCTAGTTTTGCCATTTTTATTATTAGTGCTTCGTGGTTGACTGTGTCAAAAGCCTTTTCCAAATCTATACAGGCTATTATGGTATATTGTTTTTCCACGAATGCTTTGTTTATATGATTATCTAGTATTTGTAATGCATCTATTGTATTTCTGTTTGGCCTGAATCCATTTAAATCTTTGTCTAGTTTGTTATAATGTTCCAGAAACCAAGTTATTCTTTTTGTTATTATACTTTCAAATAACTTTCCGATACAAGATATTCTACATATGAATCTGTAGGATTTTGCATCATTTGGGTTTTTTCCTGGTTTAACTATTGGATTTACTATCACGTTTTTTTTGTGATGCTGGGTATTCACCCCTGGACCAGTGTGTATTCATTATTCTTAGAATTGCCTTCAGCAAATTATCTGGTGCATTTTTATATAGTTCGTATGGTATCTCGTCTGGGCCATATGCTTTGTTATTCTTAGCACTTTTTAGTATTGTTTTTAATTCTATCATTGTTAGTTCGTTGCTTAGTTCATTTGTATTTTGTATATTGAATAAGTTGTATTTTTGTGAATTTGATAATAATTTTTTGGGTATTTTGTTTACTGTTTCCATATATTCTTCTTTGAATTTTTCTAGTTTTTGGTTGATATTTGTTAGTGGCAAATCATTATCTATTATTGGATATTCCGTTGTAATTGTTTTTCCTGTCAATTTTTTGAAAAAGTTCCAAATCTTTTTTGGTGGGTTTTTGAAGTTTAATGTTTCACAAAAATCGTTCCATGATTTCTTTTTTTGTTGAGTTATTGTTTGTTTTGCTTTTGCTGAAAGCTTTTTGTATTCTATTTGGTTTGCTATAGTTGGTTTTTTCCTCCATCTGTTAAAAGCTTTATTCCTTTCTTTTATAGTTTCATGACAATCTTTGTTCCACCATGGTTTATTTGGTTTATCTATTTTTGTCTTGTTTCTAATTTTAAATATTTTAGAGCTGTATTTTTTTATCTGCTCTGTTATTTCTTCTATGGTTGATATTTCTTCTAAATTTGTTTCATTTAATTCTTTCTGGTAGTCTTTCCATCTTTCTTTTGTGTAGTACCATTTTTTTTCTTTGAGTAAATGGTTTTCAATGTATGTGTTGTCCATTATTATTATTGGCAGATGGTCACTTATTTGGTGGGATGCAGATTTTATTTGTAGATGACTTAGGGCGGGTGAGCCAAATACGAGATCTAATGTGGATTCTTTTGCAGTTTTTGGATCAATTCTGGTTATGA